ATTACAATTCATAAAATATGCAATCTAAGTAAGAAAAACGAATGGAAAAGATAGAAAAACAAATGGGAAAAATATCTAAATTACAAATCTGCACGAGATCCTTATAATTCATAAAGATTTTTACCCAATTTTCCTTCCTTTTATTTAAATTTTATCCTGTCCATTTTCTTTTTATTTATTTTTTTTACGAAAAATGGCTAAATAATTTTCTATAATAAAAATGTCATTCAACAAAAAATTATTTATAATTAATAAAATTCAACCAATCATATGATAGATATTAAATAAAAGATAACCAATGGTAATTATGGCTCACAAACCATAATCTTTTATGTTATTCCTAGTAAAAAATTGTCTATAAAGAATAAAATAATATAATATACGTAAAGCGAATAGGCTATTCCAAATTTAAAAAGAATAATATTGTTAACATTTAAATAATACTTCATTAATTTTTTATAATCAAATTGAACAGTTGTTTTTAGAAAAACGAGTGATCGAGCCTATTCGATCCTATGTTAAAAGATAAACCCATATCCCTCTAGATCCACTCCAGGCCAATGAAGTCAACTGATGACTACGTACAAGATTCAATTATAAAATAGATTGAAGCAATACCATATTAGAGGGCCCTGGATGCACCCTTAAATAGGGCATATGCTAAAACATTTGGCGGCCCAGTGCAAAAATGGTGGCAACCATTTAAAAGATTTAATTTACAAGCTGCAAAGGAAACCCAATTCAAAATTAGCTAGAAGGGAAATATAACTGATAAAATTAATGAACCAGAATTTGGCGACCTCCACATAGCCTAATTCTGCTCTACCACGCCCCCTCCCTATATTATATATTTGATTAGAATTGTATGATCCTGACATGACCACCACTTATAATATTAGAAAAGCTTGTTTTGATGAAATGATATTTTTTTTGCTTTTCTTTTATTTACGTAACTTAATCGACATGACCGAAATTCAGGTTGGAAGGCATTCAACGACCAACCTAATCGACTAAACAAATACAATTATTGGACCTCGAACAAGAGCACTTGCTATACTTTATGCATGGGCATTATCATTAAAAAATAAAACTTCTTCTACCACTTCTAGTTCTAATTAATAATTCTTTACCTATAAAGCCACCGCCACCGCCGGGTTATTTTAGTCATGCCACGCCTCCGGTGAAAAAGATATTGGCGCGCCGCCACCGACTTTTTAATCAGCGGCGGTCCGGCGTATAATTATGTTATTGCTATTATATTATTAATATTTATAATTTAAAATCATTAATGTTTATAAATTATATTATAAATGAAAATTAATTTTTATGGAAATGTTATTTTATTTAAATGTATCATATTTTAGAAAAATAAACTTTATTTCAAAGAAATTATTTCAAATTAAACAGCAGCTTAAAAATCGGGGCGCGCTGATCGCCTATATAAGGCGAAACGCCGCCGATTCCATCTGCGCACATGTCTACCTACCTATGCATTATATTATAAAAAATATCTATATTGTAAAATGCCCATGTTGATTCTTTCATTTAGGATATCTTTTCGTTTTCCTTATGATATAAAATAAATTATTCATAATTTTAATATTTCGTTTTATAGACCTATTCAGACGCGTAGCCAATGGGAGGAGGGGGGATCGCCCTGTTTTCTTAAATATCATTTTAAGCCAATAAAATTTTTCCCCTTTCACACCCCCACCGCCCTCTCCCCAAACAATGTATACAATATATCATTATAAGGAAGGATTTTAAAGTAAAATTAGTAAAAATTATTAACCATTTAAAATAAAGACTATAATTCAAAATTTTTAGAAAAAAGCATTTTAACAAAGAAAAAGTGAAAACCTAAACTTATTTTTATAAAAATCTAATATAGCCAAAGGCCTACAATAAATGGACTTAAGATCTTCAACAAAATTTATGGGGAAAAATTCACCTAATAGTTCTCCCCCCCCCATCATGGCAAAATCCTGGATTGTCAAAACATATTGAGGAAATATAAAATTAATCTTTTTCCTCTCATCAGAATCAAAACACACCTGACATTGGTAAAAAAATATTTAATAAGAAATCTTGCTTTGTAAAGTCACATTATTTAAAAAAAGGTATCAAAAAAATGAAATAATGGCAATAAAATTACCCCCGAAATATTTTGCGGTGTGATAAAAAGAGAAAAAAACAATTCTCCAGGGGTTCATAGGTGGGGCCTGAGCCCCAAATTGCCACTTCTTGAGGTATAGAAACATATAAAATAGCAAACTTGTTATTTGATCAGGGTGTTTCACCCCTGTGCGATGGCCGACGACATTTCCATGTAAATTGTTATTTTAAAACAATTATGCCAATGGATTTATTAGCAAAACAAAATAAAATTATTAAGTAATATAAATGTAAGAATCAGATAATCCTTATTCTTTTTCCTTAATATCATTTAACACCATTTATTTTTTTAAAAAATATTTTCATTTATATTTGGCCTTTTTAAGTCAGTGTCATTTTTCAAATTTTTAAACACAGTTTCAAAATCTTAGTGCCCTTCAGCCATCTAATCAGATTAGGGTCCAATTCAAGGAAATTGCCGTTAAGCAGCGGATTTATTTAAAATTTCTATTCATTTTTATAATCAAACTATTTTTAATATATTTTAACCCTAATCATCTCTCAAACCTTCAATTAACCCTAAGGCATATTTTTCTTTCCTTTAATCCTACATTTTACTTCACACTGTTTAATTTTAAATATATTTCTTCCAATTAAGGAATCTCCCTCAGTTGAACATCCCATGAGTTGACCTATTAAGCAACATCATTAAACGATTAAAATTTTTAAATAATGTGATGAGGTTGTCAACATCAGCTGGAAATTTAAAAAAAAATGTTGATCCATTTTTTTATCATTTTTACTCAAAATCTACATTATATTTGTTTTGTATTATATGATTTAAAGGAAAGAACAAAGATAAAACAAAAACATTTAATTTTTCCAGAGTGAAAAAAATCTTCTATTTATTTTAAAGAAATGATCAAATAATATCTAAAAATGTCCAAATATTTTTTATACGTAAATATTTTCTAATTTTCATGCACAAAAAATCTTTGAAGATGAACTCATATTTTTTTTAAAATAAAACATTTTTTGAAACTGCATTTTTCTCTAAGGTTTATTTAAAATTTAGAATTATTTTATTAGATAATTTATTTAGAAAATTTTTTAAATTCAGTTAGTGTTGGCGGGCAAAATAAGTGATATTTTTTTGAGAGGATTATTAAATAAATAGTTAATCTGATATAACACCACTTATGAAATCATAGATTTTTATTTATTTTTGAAAAAAATAATTTATGATTGTTTTTTGAAACAGTATAAAAGTTAAATTAAATTTAGCAACTTTGCTTAGAAATATTCGTTTCACATTTTAATTTTTGTTACATTAAGTTTTTTTTGGGAAAAAGAAAAATACATTTAATTTTTTCGTATCTTCATTTTTATATATTTTTTTGTGATTATGTGCTTTCTCCATTCTTCATCATCTTCATGTAATAACTGAAATGGAAAGAAAGAAAATTAAGGTAATAAAGAAACTATACTATACCTTTAAGATTTAATTTTCAGTTTAAATTGTTAATAATTTTATAAAACAGTAAAAACAGATACTTTAAAATTTAAAAATCCATTACACCATTTTGGATTTAAAAAAATTCTAGCAAAATAATATGAGTAAAACATTCTAATTGAGTTTATGATTCTCTACCCAATAAATATACAAAGATTGATTTTCGGAAATTGTAAATGGGAATTATTTTATTATATTAGAAAAAAAACATATTTAAAATAAATTTTTGGTTCGGATTTGAAATAATTGAAGGAAAGATCTATATAAGTCAAATATAAGAGCCCCAATATCCAAAAGAAAGAAAAAAGCATACGAAATGGATATAAATAAGTTATGTTATGTTGTGTTTTAGAAATGAATATATAGTTCTTGTGCCTAAAAAACACTAGATTATTAAAAAAAGATTGACCCTCGCTGCACAAATTTAATTTTTTTTAAAACTCAATATTTTTCAAAGAGTCGATATTGATAAGCCTTAATCTCACTTTGATAAAAGGAAATGAACGATTAGAATATAGATTAATTTATGGATGATTTTTTTTACAACGGCATTTTTACTATTAGATTATAAAAAATTTTTTTTGTTATGATCCTACTAGCTCCAATATAAAATGAACACATATTTATAAAATTAAATAAAAATTGGCTCAAACTTGAAATGACCATTGGCAATATATATATGAATTTAAAGTAATTTTAGGCGGCTTAACTTATGTTTTCGTTGACATGCGAAATCAAGTTCATTTCGCTTAGTTTGAGTTGTGCCTAATTACAAATATAGAAAGTCAAAAGCCAGTCCGGACCGAAATAAAAAGATCAGATCGAATTTTTTTCATATTGTTTTGTTTTATTGTTTTTTCTAAAATGTACTTTTCTAAAAAAATTTTGCTTTCGCTTATTTAAAAAAATGCATCTTTGTCTTATTTTTGTAAACATTTTTTCATCAGCCTTACCACTATTAAGTGGTCACTTTATGGAGTTAGAGGTTACATTTTAATCAATATAATATTATATTTCAGAGGTATTTTAAACGACCTAAAGAAGTCAAGAATCGATATAATAAGGAACGGTTGGTCATTATTATTAAGAAAATATTTAAGCCATTTCTATTTCATTTTGACAATTAGTTTCAAATTTAGAAATTTATTTTAATTACTCTATAAAAGAGATTTTGTATCTATACTCTGAAAAATTACTTTTAAAAATTTACTACCATCTTTAAGCACATTGGTTTACGACCTTTCTTGATAAGAATGCACAAAGTCCCTAATTTTTAATAGCAAGGAAGCAAGCAAAACCCTGAATATTTTCAATTAGCAATAATTTTTTTTATAAATAACACTAAATAAAATAATATCCATTTTTCTTAAAGTTGTTCTAGTGACCGGAGCGACGGGATATACGGCGGGACACGTCATTAAACTTTTGCTCGAGAAAGGCTACCGAATCAAAGCAACATACCGAAAAAATGCCGAAAACGAAGCCAAAATCCAAGCATTGAAAAAAAATTTGGGACTTTCTGACGGTGACGATGTAACACCAGTGTTTCGGAAAAAAATATCTTTGGACTTCATGGAGGCTGATTCGAACGATTCTTTCGAATTGTGGAAAGAGTGAGTGTTTTAAATAATAGTTTTGAAATTTAGAATCTAAAAATATTGGATATCACAGTTAGCGCAAATGCGCCACTCTCGAAAAATTTCTTAAATAAAAAATTAATTACAAATAATGAAAAGTCATCAATCATTTGTCCCTTCATTTTATTTTATTTATCAAAGTGTTTTTTAAATTTTTATATAAATTGAACTCATTTTTTTATGAAATATGAATGACTAATTACTTTACCTTAATCTAATCACGTTAGTCTAGAATCTGCCCAAAATGAGTGAATATAAGTTTCACATGTCCCATCCATGGCATAATTATGCTGGTTTTTTTTACCAAGGATATCAATAAATCTTGTACTCAGAAATCTATAAAAAAGTGTAGAACTAGCCCAACCATGTTATATCTAGTGATTATGCATAAAACCTCGGAAGGAGAGAAAATGAAGATAAGGAAAAGGAGAAGAGAAGATCCTCCTCGTGGGACAATTTTAATGTTATTTCATCTAGGATAAATGAATGTAAATATTGCTATAATGAGGGTATGATCAACAATAAAATAAGACAAGGATATTATAATAGAAAGAAAGTAAGTCCTCACTCAGTAAATAAAAAAATAAAAGGCCAGATAAAAAATAAGCATAAATGAAAAAAGCAATTATTTAGTAACGTTGTTTTTACCATAGAATTATAAAATTAATATAACCAAATTCAAGCAAATTTATAACTTGGTAAATATCAACTTATATTCGTTAGGTAGTTATATATCGTGATAAGAAGTTTTCTCAAAATAGGTTTTCTTTAGCATAAAAGGTTTCAGACTAGTTGAGTCTGTAAGAGCGAAGCCGATATTTGATTTGATGACCATATCTTTCTAAATGAGCGATATTGAAAGCCAGATGCCGTCATCTTTTTTAACATATCCTCCATCGTATTTCCTTTTCTATCCAGGGTAACACCTATATTTGATGCTCGCGACTTCCTCAACCGTTAAGCCGTTTTTAGTTAATCCATCATGTGGTAGCGAGTGAAATGCGGCCATCTTCTCAAAATTATATTTTATCATCTTTTTCCTTTTGTACTAGAACTTTAGATCAATATTTAAAATACACATGACCATTTTATGATCCGAGCTAAAATTTATTTAAGGAAGTACTTTAAAATTGTCCATCAGTTCGTAAGTGTTTTTAGGATAAGGAAAAAATGGACCAAGAGTTATTTTGAGGACAGAGAGTAAAGATCTCTCCAAATTTGGAAAATTCAAAGGAGTAAACTATTATATACCCGAGATCATTACATAATTTTAAGAGAAGTTTTCCTCGAGTGTAAGGAACTAGATTCCGCCGTATCTAGACAATCATGTTTTCAAATATCGGGGAAACCAACTTTAGAATTTTGCGCAGCCATTATAAAATTTTTGCGCTTCGGAAACTTCTTTACATCATTTTGCAGGACTGAGTGAAGCTCTGTCTTTTCCAGTTAATTCGCCGGTGCATAGACGTTAATGTTATTCAGTGGTTTACAATGACTTAAGTTTAATACTAAAAATCCTGCTATTAAAAGCCTCGAAGTCCTAAACCAAATGCAGTAAATCATTTTTTATAATTAAGGCTACACCGTTCCACTTCTTTTCAGTTACTCCCGAATTATAGTTGGTCTAATCATGACACCAAATATTTAAGCCCGGGTTTGGACGCACTTGCCAGGCTCTATTCCCCAGAATTTTTAAACATAAGGTTGCCTGGTGGTTTCAACATATTTAAACAGGCGTTCCTTTTTTTTAATTTAAAAAACCATAGGTGTTTAAAACAATAAGCTGGCGGATGGGCCAAAATCAACCCCTTGCAGGACTCCTAATGCAATACCAAATGCTTGATTATAATACTACAAAAATATTACTGTGTAAAGGTTTTGCAATACTTTTTAACAAAAGTTATTAACAATTTACTCCATTATTACATTATAATTGTATTTTATATCTGTATTAAAACAATTTTTTTTATAACGTGAGAAACAAACAATTCCTCTTATTGTTTAAGACAAGAAGCTTGTTTCAAAATAGAAATTCCTTTCAATTTGATTTATTGTGTTTTATATAAAATATTTTTTATGTTTTTCACTTAAGAAATGGGAAGTAATTATAATTGGGAATTTACCATAAAGTCATTATCTAAAGGAATGAATCAATGCGGAATTGATATTAATCGGGAACAACCGGCCCCCAGACCGGTTTGAAATATAAAATGGGATGGGTTTAAAATCTGGATCGGGTTTGAAAATGGAAATTTTTAAAATTCAAGACTGTATAACAATATGAGGCGAATATCATAAATAATGACTCATAAATATATGTATTTTGCATTTGTGAATTTACCTTCTTTTGTCAACATATTCTCAAGAAGGCATTTTATAAAAATAATAAGCATTTATATCAATATTTATAGAGTGCCAAATTTTATCAATATAACATTATCAAATTATTGTAACTTTGAAAAATTATAATTTTATCAAATCAAAACAAAACAAAATCATCTTATGGGTATGGGTGTATTCTAAAAGGATGACCAAATAAAATTTCAATAAGATATTTCATTATTTTATTATAAAAACTAACGATAGAGGATACTGTAGTTATCCAATAATTAATGGTTGGTAGAAAGGGCAATCACAATTATTAGATTGAGATTTTGAGAATACTTGCGATTAATTTATGATTTAACCTTATTTATTCTAAAGATTTTAAGGTGCTCATTTTATAATGACTAATTTACAAAATGGTCGACATTTTTTGATGTGGTTAAATAAAATTTTTATTTGAAATGAAAATTTCATAATTTGTAGTAATTAATTCAATAGCCGTAGTCTTACGAGGGCTTGAATACCACTTATGATTTCAGCCTGAGGCCAAAGGGTTAAACTTCTGTAGGTTTGTCTTTAGGTAATTCCTTAATCTTATGTTAATTCGAAGTCGGTTGATATTGTAAAGACCTAGGTTAACTAATTTTTTATACCAATCGTTTCAGGTGAAACTTTAAAGTTTTTTATAAAATATGGGCCGTAATCAGAGCCATTACATAAGAACCCAAGAATTTTTTCCTAAAAATACAAATGATTATTTTAGAAAAGGATATGGAAGTATTCATCTCATAACAGACCTACAGAAAAAATATAACAATTATTTGTTTTCCATTTCATGAACATATGTTTTTTGTTTGAATAAATTTACCCAAATTTTTTTTTCGCTCAATTTTTAGCTGTTATTAAATTTTAGGACAAAATTGGAATATCTTTTTCATTATTTCAGCATAGATAGAATTAAATAAATGAAACTGATTACCATGGGAGGAGCTATAAAAAGTTTGGCTAAAATAATAAATGCCACATATAGTATCCTAGTATTACCCATTTTAAGGAAGGTAAGGAGTTGTTATGGTTATCTAGTATAACCAATCAAAGTAAAATTGTAAAGGCAAACAATTTTGTTTTAAAATTTATGAACCAATCATCCTCTAAATTTTAACTCGACACTCGAAATTATTTAAAATACTTTTTATTTTTTGCTATCAGTAATGCTATGATGGATAAAAGATACGATATAGTTGGAATAAACTTCCACATAAATTTATATTTTCATATTTCACCTCTTAAAATATACTAGTATAGTGAAAGGCTGCACATACGTCGTTCATTTAGCTGGTCCGATATTCGCAGAAAGTATGGATAAGGACTCCAATATATTGCTTGCGAGTACGAAACAACCCGACATCGATGACGATAACATTAATGTAGCGAAAGATATCAATAAAGAATTAACGGTGAATGACAAGGATAAAGAATTATTACCCGTCCCTAGTCCCATTTCCGCTGATCAAAGGATCATAGATTTAGCCGTGAACGGAATTCTAAACTTATTAAAAGCTTGCAAACACTCAAAAACGGTTAAGAGAGTAGTTTTAACTTCGTCGTTTTCCGCCATCATAGGTTTGTCTTTTATATATTAGAACGTTACATGGTTGTATCTAGGTTCATGGGTCATTCCATAAAAACTTTAGAATGGCCCTCTTTAAACTTGGCATTATTGTTATTTATCACCTAAATCTTGATGTCATTCAATGTTATCAGATAAAGAGTTGAAAAATGGGCAAAACGTTATTTCATTTTTTTAAATAGTAAAAATGATAGTTTCACAAATTATATATCATTTTGTATCCCCTAAAATTCTAGTTTAGAGAATATTTAAAAAGCATTTTCTTATTTATATGATAGAATTTTTTAAAAAATTAAGAAGATAATTATTGTAGTTGCCGTAACTCATCAGGAATGATTATTACCGTTATCTTTAACTGTATAACAGAAAAATCGAAGTGAATTTTATTTTAATATATTATTTTTTTAAAATTAAAATATCTAAAGTTATATTCAAAAATTAGCCTGCAATATTATAATAAATATTTTTAAAAAATATATTGAGCACATAATCGATACGAAGTTGAAAGGCTATGTAAGCAAACAGCTTGTAGAATTAACCATGATTATTATTTGGACACTATTTAAAAAATTAATTATTGATATATTAACTATTATTTTTTAAAAAATGTCTTTATCGCATTTCATTTTACACAGTGTTAAAATTGCTTGAGGCTATAAATTGTAAGTATAAGTCCTATTGTTATTACGGGATTTTTTATCGTTATTTATTATTTTATGCCATACATTCTCCTCAATTTGGGGTTAAAATAAGGATGATCAGAAATTGGTTAAGGGAATTTAAAAGAAAAATATCCACAGAAAATTCATTTTCTTTGAGTATTATGGCCAATCTAACGCCACCAATAATCATAATTACAATGGACTCATAGGAAATATCATGTGCATGTCTAACTTGGTTACCGTTGGGACCAAGATTTTTACCCAACTTAGACAGTTGTCCAATATATCAAGGCATTTATGATAGTTAATTGCAATGACTTAAAATATTAATCAAATTAGGGAGTTACCCCAATTATCAAAGGCCCAAATCAGACAAGTTTACATATATATATTTTTGAAAAATGAGATCTATTGAAATCACACTTTACGCGATTTTGGACTTTTATGTGTATTCTTTTTGACCATAAATAGTATCAGGCCAGGCTTCATTTATTTTTAAGAGGGACATTAATCATAACCCTAGTTGACTTCCCATAAAATGGCTCTCTTATCATTTAAACAATTGTTAAAATGCCAATTTTTTGGACTTGGGCCTAGCTCTTTTTTGGTAGATCAGGATGTTGAACCAAAATAACCATTATATTTTCAAAAAATATAATAAAGCCATTATAGAAATATGTTTATTTAATGTTCCAGAACACGTTCTAAAATCTTTTATTGCTATTTTATTAACTATTATAACAATTTTTTCACATACAGTATTAATTAATTAAAATAATATCTAAAATAATATCATATAAATTTGAGTGTCGAAAACACTCCTCAATTTGTTACCAATATTATCCATTTAAGGATTTTATAATAAAAAGTTTAAATTTCTTCAAGCATGATTATAAATATTTTTTTAACAATCTTAATTCTTAGATCACATAATAAAACTAAACACCTTGTGAGGTAAATCTTTTATTTGTTTACTACTGGTATTAGATGTCATTAAGAATTAGAATTTTTATAGCTTTATGATATTTTCATGCAAAGAGATTTCGCTAGTATGATGATGTAGTAAACAGTTGTAAGGAAATTTTATTAGATTTTCCTAAGATTTAAGAAAGTAAGTTTTTAATTTATTTTTGCTAAAAGTTTAGTTAATGAGGAAACTCGATATTAAATTTCTGTAAAAAGTTAGGGAAAAGTATTAAGATACAGATACCTCAAAAATTTAATTAAAAACCTTTTTATATAACAAGTAAAATTAGGACCAAATCCCCATAATTACAATTATTTTAGTCTTGTAGTTTATCAATAGTTATTGCTAAGGAAATTATTGCTTTGGTATATTCCTCAGAATTATATTTTAAACTATTATTGGTGTTAATTGGAGCAGAAGAAATATAAACATTTTGAGATCCATTTCTATTATATATTTATAGAGACCTGCTCAAAAATAAATAAAATTTATTGAAAAAATCTGGGCTGGGCCGAAAAAAATTTTTGAAAAAAAAATCCAGGCCTGGCCATGCAAATGGTACCTCTGCAGGTGTCTGATTTTATTTATATTAATAATATATTGTCATAAAAAAATTTGAGGAAGATATCATTAGGATGTTAATAATTGTAGGAATTTTTTAAAAAAATGTTTAATATTTAAATTAAGTAAACATTTAAATATATCAAAAAATAATGAAAAAATAAAGTATCTGTGTCTTTTCCATATTAAACATTTAAAGATACAGATACTCATTTTAAAAAAATATTTAAGATATAGATACAAAGTTCTTTTTTTAATATGTACAAAAAGATACAAGATACAAGTATTTGCGATATTGCCCAACCCTGGTCAATTAAAACGTATAAATTATGATTTATTTAAAAAAATCCGAAACTTATAAAAATCGGAATGAGCAGATAAAAATTAGTGATCTGCATCACACCTAATTATTTAAGCCCAGCATGGCCTGATTTTTTTTAAACAGCTTTGCCAGCCCAACCCGAACCCAATTTTTTTTTAAAAAAATTTTAGCAGCCCGGCCCAAATTTATTTAAATATATAAATTAATTTTTGTAATTACTCAAAATAAAAGATATATGTTATATGTCTAGTTTCTATAAATAAAATCGAATATTTTTATCTTACATAAAAAATTCAACATAAAATTGATAAATTTATATTTAAAAAAATTTATAAGGCCCAACCTGGCCCGAATTTTTTTTTAAAATATTAAACCCGCCCCCTCCCGCCAAACATCCCATTTTTATGAACACTCACTTGATTATATCTTAGGCTATGTTAAAAATTTTTTTTATTTGCATATAACAAAATTTTAGAGAGTATTTCATTATAGATTTTATTTATTATATAAAAATATTTTAGCATAAATAACATTCCTTTATTTAATCATGTATTTGTTTTTATTATTTAAAAATTTTGATTATAAATTTTATATATTAAACTAATATAATCATATTCAATTTTTTGATTTAAATTTATAAAGATACTTTTCTCTGAGATTTTGCTAATTCAGCTATAATCAAATTTTTATCTAGAATAATCTCCTAATAAATATTTAATAGGGCTAATCCATTTAAACGTTTTTCACCGGTGGTATTTCTTAAATAGGTTTTTAACCTTTTTAAGTGGAAAAGGATCTTTCATTAGTGCCGATACTAATTGCTATGGTAGCTAAAATAATTAATAATGTTTTGATATTAGGAAGGGAATCTAAAGTGCAATTACACATGAAAAGAGTCTGCAGCATTTTTTGGTCTCAAAGAATATTCTATTCTGTTCGATATTTATACCAAATTTTGATCACAAAGTAATTTATCATATGAGCCTACTAAATCATCAGCGTAAAACTCTGAGATTTTCTTAATATCCTCTCGTGTTTCTAGTGTAATCAATAGTTTAGACTCAACCGGCAAAAGAAAATAAAATTAAAATAAAATATGAAGAAATCTTAAAGAAATAAAATCTTTTTAAAATAAAATATGAATAAATCTTTCCTTTAATTGAAATAAAAATGTATCAATCAATACAATGGGAATAAAAATGTTTATTTTAAAAAAATCCTCAATCGTAGATGCGTCAATATTTGAGCAGTTGGATTGTCTAGAAACTAGAAGTGGGCGCGGGCCGTGTAATTACGTGTGACCCATCGTGTCACGGTGGGTCACGGCGTGAGTGTGAATTAATTTTAAATTCTAAGGCGTGACTGGACGTGACGGGCCTTCCCAAAATTTTCCCCGGGCGTGAACTTAAATTTCCCGTGAATCACGGAAATTTTAATTTTTAAAATTGTTTTTTTATAAATATAAATTTGCAATTTTATAATTATATTATATATTTTCTTATTTAATTTAGTTCTTTTTTAAAAAAGAATAATTTATGAAAACTAAAAATCTTCCTCATTTTATAAACAACATCCGGTATCATTTCGTTAGTTTTCTTTTCTTTTTATGTTTATGTGTTTTTTATCGTGAGACTTTATGCTAAATTTTGCTTAAACATTTTACAGAAAAGTCAGTTATATTTTATTTGTAAAGATATCAATCTTTAAATGCAACAGAAAGTGAAGGGTTTTACAAGCTAGGCCAAGAGATAAATATTGGTGTTACATATGGATAACAAAATATAAAAGTTGTGAACCGGAAAACTTTCATGAATACTATAGGTCCAAAAATATACCATGAAATAAAATTTAAGATTAAAAGCATGATCATTGTCCATAATCACTGATATTTGGACGGGTGACTATAAAAATCTAAGTTTTTTAACCATTATAGGACATATTATCATTAAGGATTTTAAATTAAAAACATTTGTTTTGGCCCTAAGGGCAATGGATGAAAAAAACGTCAAAATTAAAAGTGTAGTCAATTCAATTTTAGGAGAATATACAGAAGTAGAAAATTGCTTAAATAAATGTTTAGTTGTGAGTGATAACGGGACAAATCTTATAAGTGCATTCAAAGATGACGAAACGCTGGCATGTATATGCCATATATTAAATACAGGCCCGTAAGCAGGAATTTTGTCTGGGGGGGGATAATAAAATTTTTTAAGAAATATTATTGTTTTTTAAAAATATCAAGCATAAATTTATAAGGACTAATAACTATTTCTAATACACAATTTTAAATTTATGTGAATTATAAAAAAATTATATGTAAAGAATCACTTAAATGACCCATAATAGAAATTTGAATTTTTTGAGCCTTTACACAAAAAGTTTCTTAGGAATAATTGCATTTTATATGTTATATATTTACAATGTAAAATCCAAACTTCGTTGTGATTGAGCTAATTTTTCAATTATCTCATCCTTGCTTGT